CCCCGTCTTCCCCCTTCCGCCCTCCCCCTCTCTTTCCTCTTCATGATGCAGCCTTTGCCGGTTTCCTAACGAGGAAAAAGAACATAGGAGTGAAGATCTCCCTCTTTCCGCCTGCGACCAGTCCGTGAGACGCGGTCTCCAAGAACCTCGACACTTGTGTGGTCCCCACCGGCGCGACCCTTAGCGTCTCCAGGAGCCAGACGAGCCGGCGGGTGAAGAATCGCCCAAATGACGTCAACCGAAACTCCGACAGTCCGAACCCTCGAGCAAGGGGGTAATACCACGGTATTGCCGACGACTTGGCCAAATCTTCCGTCATGATGACCTCAAATCCTGCTCCCTTGAGGGCTTCCACGCACTGAGAGCAGCTCTGCAGGTCAGGCAGGCCATCGCCTATCTCTATGTCCTCCTTGCACTTGCGATGCACAGGATCGTCGGCGTTATATGCGTCAGTTACACACCACTCGTACCCAGCGAAGCACTGGCCCGGCTTCAGCACTCTGCAGATTTCCCTGTAGCATTCCACCGGACTAGGTGCATGGCACGTGGCCTCGATTGCGTACGCTGCATCGTAACTGCTGTCGGCAATAGGCATCTTCATGAAGTCCGCCTTCAAGTAATCACAGGTCTTGTCCAGTCCGGCGGCCTTGTTCAGTGCGGTACCGCGAGCCACCTGGAATTGGTTGTTGTTAAGGCCCGTGATCGAGGCGCCGCTGAAGATGGCTATCTCGCGCAGAGGACCGCCTATTCCACAGCCGACGTCGAGTACTTTCATGCCCGGCTTCAAGCCCAACCGAAGAGCAAGGTAGTGTTGATGACGTCGAATGCTCTCTCTCAAAGTCTCGTTCTTGTGGCGATGAGCAAAGTGGAAAGATTCTCCCCATCCGTACTCGTAGAAGCTGGTCGCAAGATCGTAGTACTTGTTAACCATGTCCGCATAAAGGGCCTTGCGCCCCTGCGCATCCCCCCCATACTGCGCGTGGTATTGCTCGTACCCGCAGACTGCCTCCTTTACCTTGTCCTTGGAAATGCTGCCACCTGTCAGGCTGGCAAGCCCCAGAGCCCCCGTCAGCTTCTCCGAGTCCGAAGCCATGCCTCTCTCCAGAGAGGGAGGGAGGGAGGGAGGGAGATCTCGGAACGACACGTGGGAGAGCACGTGCGCGCCACGTGGGACTTTTTTTTTTTTTTTTTTTCCTACGAGTGAATAGAAATGAGGATAGATGAATAGGACGAGGGTTCCAAAAAAAAAAAAAAAAAAGGACGAGGGTAGAAGAGGATGAGGATATAAATTTTGAGGAGAGAAGAGGAAGAGGAGAGAAGAGGAGGAAAAGGAGTAGATGTATGTAGATGTATGTATGTGAGGGATAATGGATAACGGAAAATAGATAAAATCGATAAAATCTATAAAATGGATATAAAATGGATAGAATGGATAAAAATAAACGAGCCGTTGGCGTGTCAATCAACAATCAAATGAAATGAACCGTCAGTTTGTTAATCGAATATAAGCCAACCGTTAATTTCGAAATCAAGCTCTGGGCGCGCGGAGTTCGCGCACGCGGGGTTTCCGCGCTCATCAAGCGGGAGAGGGAAAACCGGTTCGCATGTGCAGCGCTTGCTGCGCATGGCTTCCCCCCACCGTGCGCCGCTTGTACCCCCTTTGTAACCACTCTGGCGGAACTGACCAGGTACGACGGATCGAATCCCGGTGGGAACTATACAAGCCCGGTAAACAGACAGAAAAAGAATCACACAGCGGGCTTGGCCTGCGTCTGAAACTCTTCCCCCTTCCCCCCCTTCCCCCCCCCTCCTACCCTCCCGCGTCCCCCAGGGCGAGCGAGGTCCCACTAGCCAAGAGGATTGGATTAAGCTGCTCCTGAATCTGGACGTGTTTTGAGCAGAGATGCAGAGAAGCACTTCATTCTCGATTGTCTGCACCTTTTAACAAACACGTCCAGATTCAGGCGTTCAGTCCCAATCCTCTTTGCTAGTGGGACCTCGCCCCTGGACCTCAACAGAAGTTGGGAGAGAAAATAGTTATGAACTTGTTAGGAAACTCTTTTTGATAGTTTGGGAGATTTTCCTTCGCGGGAAATCAGGGTTGGAAGATGGTTAAAAAAAAAAAAAAAAAAAAAAAAAGAATCTCTGTGCATTCCAAA